TACCCACTGTGCAGCTTAAGTGTGTGGCCTCCAATTAGTCATGAACTTTCAGATCTTAAACAGACACGGACAATTTCACCCACCTTTTGGCTGCAAATTGTCTTTAACCCATACAGTTTCTCAAGGGAACCCCTCAGTGGCCCACCATGACAGTAAGCAAGAGATGAGCTGTTAGCACAGAGCCATGGGACTCAGAGAACCCGACTGGGTTCCCGGCTCCTACCCACTCCCTCTCCAAGCTGGACGCAGCCAGGCTGCAAAGGGGTTGGGAACAGGATGGGGAAAAACCCAGTACTGCCTGCGGACGGCAGTCCCCTGACGGTGCCGTCCCCACCGAGTGCCATGGCCAACCTGAGTCACCCTCTCCCTGCGCCACAGACACCCTCTGAAGATAGAGATAATGTTCAGGCCTGCCTGGGCCTCCACCAGCAGCTCCGTTCGCTGTCTTCCCTCTCATGCCTGGCCATAGGCAGCATGCCCAGGGACGTGGTGGCAGCACCCTGCCTGCAGAAGCCTCTGGAGGAGTGAGGCATGGCCTTGCCGTTCTCTCCTGCTCATGACCACAGGGCTTTTCCCATCGTATTAACGGAAGGAATGCACCGAAAAAGATGGAGAGGTGGCTGCAAAAGAATAGGAATAGCCTGAAAGGGAAAGGGGGAAGGATTTGAGAGTCTCCAAGGAGGCTCTGCTCTGCAGCTCGGAGAGCATCTCCAGCAGGGGTTCCTGGATCTGGGAAGAACCAGGTTTCCTTGCAGAGACACAGGTTACAGCTCCAGCACTGACACCCCAGACTTGATATGTCCAGTGCTCCTGTTCATGGGCTCCCTTGGATGCCCCTCAGCCTTGTGGCTGGGCCACCCTGCAGATTTGCCTTGGGAAGACAAGTAAATGTGCTGTAAAAGCAGCTCAGGACACTACGAAAAATCGTGGAAACATCCTGCCTGTGACTTATTTTCTTAGATTTTAGATTGACAATGTTTGAAAATGGAAAAAAAAGCCTGATTTTTAACCTCTTTCTTTTACATAGCACTTGGAGACATGTTCCCCAAGTGCTGATCCCCAGGCCATACGTGGCTGATAAGATGCAGCATGTCCATGTGGTTGCTGTGTCCCACCACATGCTGCCCACACGGCGCACCTCTGCAGCAGCTGGGAGCCAGCCCTGGCACCCCACATCCCGCCTGGAGCACACACCATCCCGGCCACCCCTACAGGGAGGCAGTGACCGGCTGTGGCCAGTTGGTCCCTCGATCACAGAGGTGAGGTTGCTTCCCACTGGAAACACACTGACCCACAGAATCATAGAATGGTGTGGGTTGGAAGGGACCTTAAAGATCATTGAGTCCCACCCCCCCTGCCATGGGCAGGGACACCTCCCCCCAGGTTGCTCCAAGCCCCATCCAGCCTGGCCTTGAACCCCTCCAGGGATGGGGCAGCCACAGCTTCTCCGGGCAACCTGTGCCAGTGTCTCACCACCCTCAGAGCAAAGAATTTCTTCCTAATATCTAACCCAAATCTAGCCTCTTTCAGTTTAAAACCGTTACCACTCATCCTATTGCTACACTCCCTGATAAAGAGTCCCTCCCCGTCTTTCCTGTAGGCCCCCTTTAGAGACTGGAAGGGGCTATAAGGTCTCCCCAGAGCTTTCTCTTCTCCAGGCTGAACAACCCCAACTCTCTCAGCCTGTGCTCATAGGAGAGGTGCTCCAGCCCTCTGATCATCTTCATGTCCCTCCTCTGCACTTGCTCCAATATGTCCATGTCCTTCCTGTGCTGGGGGCTCCCCAACGCATACCCCATCCAACACACCCGCAGGCATTCAGACGGCTCCTCCGGACGGGCACGTTGCACAACGCGGGCATATCACAGCGCAGAACTGCCTCAAGATTTTACTGCTGCATCTGTGCTGACCTACATACCTCACCCAGGGCTTTGCCAGTGATGAGCAACGTGCTCAGCTCAGTGTGTGGGGCCAAAGCTCCTGGAATCACCCAACGCCATCACACAGCGCACGGTCTGATTCACCACGATACATCCACACGCATAGAAAGCTGTACGGCAGGTGTATTTCTGTGCGTAAATATTCCTACACCTCCTAGGGAAGCACAGAGCTAGATGCAGTGCATCTATATAGTGTGGTACACAGCACCAGCTGCTCCACGAAACGGGATACCAGGGTAGATTATCCCCCAGTCTGCCTCGGCACAGCAATCCTGCTGTACTCGAACTGCGTTACGAACAAAAATAGGTCATTCTCCTAGGGCCCTTAACCTACTTCTAAAATGCACCAGCTAGTTTAACCAACATAGCTGGGACCAATCTTTGCACAAATCAGAATTATCCGCATCCTTTCTAAGAGGAGAGGAAGGGCAACAGGGATGCAAGAAGCACGTACATGCTGACAAAGAGAGCATCTTTTTTTTTTTTTTTTTTTGCTGAAGAGGAGGGAATTAATTATTGATCCAGCTGGACTTGAGCATCGAACTGGCTTGTCTGGAGTCAGCGCGGCTCCGACGCTCGGCTGCAAAGGCAGCAGCCTGCAGGATCGCGTGCCCCATGTGGAGCGCCAGGGCTGCCCGGCTGGCGGCTGAGCACCGGCTCTGTCCACAGGGCAAGTGTCAAGGACATGGTTTAGATTAGTTAAAAATCACATCAGCTCCAGCCTCTGCTTCCACCAGCCATCAATCTTGCAGGCACAACAGTCTCGGCGGACAAAAATAAACTGTTTTTCTACGACTTGTGCTTAAACTAAATCCGCATTCCCTGTTCCAGGAGGTGCGCAAGGGCGGTGCGGTCCATTTCTTTCGGTGGAAATGTCTTTTAATGGTGTAAACCAGGCAGAGCTGGAGCTGAAAGCTGACCAGACAGAAGTTATGGTTGTATTTCATTCATTTCTGAATGACATGGGATTCATTTCCCCTGGAAACCATCCTGCTCCCCAAGCCCACCCCACATCTGGGTAGGCACTTTGTAAAGATGTGTAAGTATCTTGGGTACGGGGAAAAGGGATTCGGAGGCACAAAACTCAATAGCCTATCCTGGAAAGGCATGCTGGGAAAAAAAAAATACACTCTTGAAGAGTGAAATCACCTCCTGAAGAAAGACAGGAAGGCCTCTTAGTGCTGACCCAGCCCCAGCCACTCTCAGATCCTGCCAGGCGCCACCTCAGCTGTTTAGAAGGACCAGGTTAATGTTCCTCCAATTACACCACTGGGGACTACGGATGTGCCTTCACATCAATCGTCTATGGCTCAGCTGAAGTTCAAGGACTGTGGATTCAGTCTGGATTTAAGAAACTGGGGTACATTCTCCCACAATTTCTGCCACGTCCCAACCCAGGAGCCTACAGAAAACAGACAAGTGGACCCCAGGCTGGAAGCGGCTCACGCTGTCCCCTCCTTTTTGTTCCTCATCAAGCTGCACTGGCAGCACTTGGCTCTTTGTGGACGCACCGGCGCTATGTGATGTCTCTGGGTAAAACGCCAGCCGACAAGGGCAGCTGCTCTGCTCGGGCACGGGGCAATTCCCTGTGAGGGGAATGGGGCTGGACCGAGTAACGCTGCTCTTCTGCTTGGGGATGCATCTCCTGAAGACAACCTGCACCTCCCTCTCAACGAGCACGCTGGCTCGTCTGGCTTTCTCCCTGCCGACATGTGAACTGTGAGGAACACCTCAGATGTATTTAGTTCTCCTTCATGACTGCACTCACGTCTGTGACCAAGGCAGTGTCACCTCAAAGTCACCTGGTCCATCACATCCACCTCCCTGCTGACTTGCTGTATGCACCCCCCAAGACCACGCAATGCATATTTAAAACACAAACAAAAAAAAACCACCAAAGATTGAGGATGACTGCAATAAAGCTTTGGAAGAGGAGTTGAAAGTTGAGGTAAGGGTTTCTGTACCAGGAAGCACTCTGAGACTGAAGGATGCTTTGTGAAGGGTGCAAGCCTCACTCTTTTTATTGATTTATAAGTCAACTGGAGAAAGCACTGGGGAACGCAGCACCCTGCTTCAGCAAGGGAACAGTTTATGTGCCCTGCTAGGACTTTTCCGTAGTTTTGGCAGGGCGAAATCCTGCCTTAGCCAACATCAGTGGGAGTGATCGATCGCCTGCGCGCTGGCTCTGAGCACATGGGAGACATCCAGGCTGGTGCTGCCGGGGGAGCTGGGTTATAGGCTAAACGTTCTTTTACATTCATCTCCTCCTCACCCCCCCACGTCTTTAGCGGGTTTGTAAAACTCCTAAGAAAAGTGCTTTGATGTTCAGTGAGATACTGAGCTGTAGCATATGTACCTTTTATTCTCGTTAGCAAAAACAGCTGTTAGGAGTGCCAACCTGTCATCTTGCTGCTTATTTAGTAGGTGCAAATAAGCAAAAACTATTTCAGAAGCAAAAATAAAGAAAATCCCTAAACGTGCTCAAGGAAGAACTAACTTACGCTAAATGGCAGACAATGCTTCAGCCACGTAGCTAGCGTTCAGCTGCCAGAAAAAGCCGAGGAAAAAGCCCAGGGGACATCACATAGATGGGTGCAGACGGAGGCAATCCAGAAGCCCTGCAGATCGGTGCAGGGTGCACAGTCGCTTTGCTTGGGCACAGAGCTGCATCCATGCAGCCGCGCCGCTTCTGGACAGACTTGCATTCAAGCAGCCCGCAAGACAAGCGAAGCCAACTTCCAACTGTCCTTGCCTTTCCTGGTGGTAAGGAGCTGCCTTGCTACAGCCAGAATGACTTCTTGACACAACCAAGAAGGGCTTTTTCTATTATCTGATGTGGTATAGCCAAAGCACGAAGTCTTGTTTGCAGGCTCTTCTCCTCGTCAAGCGAGGGGCACGAGCTGTACCACAGGCAGTGAGGGTCGAAGCTGCTGGCTTAGACCACATCCAGCTTCCCACATGCAGGGGCTGGCACTGGAAAAGCTGCCCAGTCCTGCTGGGTACAAACAAGACCTACTCCATATACTACAGCACGCCATGGCCAAAAATCCTTATCTTCTACCCAGTTTAAGATCCGCAGCTGGAGACCAACAGGCACAATTTCACTTCACGAGAAGGGAGGAGGAGAGACTGAGACCATGACCAGTTTCCTGAATTTTTCAATTTCCAGCTGATCCTCAGAAATGGACCTCAGGATGGAAAAATAAGAACCTTCTCATCCCTCCCTGCGACACAGACCTACAAGAGAATGTCCTCCTCGCTTCAAACCTGAGAATATTTTTAACCCTAAGTGTGTGAGCAGGACACATCATTGCATGAGATCATTTATGCCCCATGAGATGTGACTGCTATGCCACCTGCTTCCTCAGCCGTGGCACTTCCCAGGGTTTTGAAGACAGACAAACGTACTCCACTGGCGAAATTATGAAATTGCAGAGAAGAATTTCTTCCAGCCCTTCCTAGTGATCAGCAAAGCTCTGAAGTGGAGGATTAATAATAATAATAATAATAATAATAATATGTGCAAACAACCAGTCATCCAACTTCCTTTCAACTCCTTTATATGCATCATTGCACCAGATGTTCCAAACCTAATTTCCAGTTTCCAAGAATCTTCCTCATTAATTTTCCAATCCTTTCCACAGGCTTATCAAACTGCATCTTAAAACCATTTATGTTTCTTGCTCTTACTAGGAAATTCAGTCCCGTAACCCCTAAAGCAAACAGGAACCTAATTTCCCCCCAGAATATGTTGATAATCAAATTATAACTACTTGATCTTGTAACTTAAAAACATTATTAACTCCGCTTAATATTGTTCCTCACCAAATGCAATGAGGAGCAGGAATACAAAGTGTCAGAAATACAAAGGTATCACAGGAGTCTGCAACGTCGTGCAAGGCATCAGTTTAGCAGATCCATATGCAAACATATACCAGAGAAATGTCACCCACAGCCGCAATGCAGCATAGTACAGGATGGAGCACAACAACTTTCTGGTAGCACAGAACCATTCACAACAAGCAAAGAGAATATTTATCTGAAAAACACAGGTCAAATATATGTAGGCAAGTGTATACAATCTCGGTGTATAAAGCCCCAAGTAAGATGCAAAATCAAGATTTTTCAGCTTGAAGGATCTTTTATAATTTAAAATCAAATTCCAGATCAAACCAAACTTGTCTTTCCTTTCCTAATTCCTCACACACCATAAAGGCATAGAAGACGAACTATGTGAGAAATAGTGACAGTCAACATCCTCCCGGGATCTTGCAACTGCCCAGTGGAACCAACACCCTTGCCAGCTGCAGTACTGCTTCTCCTCACACTTGTTAGTTTCAGCACCACCACCTGCCACATCTGTCCTGGAGCCAAGAGACCCTGGACAGGCACAAAAAAGTAAGCTGAAAACACTAAAAACTAGAAAATTTAGAAAATCTGTAGATCAACGCTACAAGCAACATCTGTGCTGCCAGATGTACAAAGGTACAAAGCAAAGAACTTTGTAAACACCAGTCTCCAGGTCTAGGATAGTCCAGCTGCTGCTGATGCCACTGCTGGACCTTTTTTCCAGCTATGACCACAGGGATGTGAGCTCCAGAGTAGTCATCCAGGAATCGTTCTTTGATTTGATGAAAGCTTTTCAACCCTGCACAAAATTTTTCAGCTTCAACAAATCAGAATCTATAAATCAGAATATTCCAACCAGAGACTAATTTAAAGAATTTCCATCCATCCCTATGGCACCTTGGAAAGGATTTGTGCTTCTCCCCAGAAGTAACTTGCTTAAGTAGTTAAATATGTAACACCAGGGTATTAGATTTTCCTGCTAATGGATGGTCACTAGGACTTGAGAACTGCTGTGAAATCACTGTACCAGTTTTCTCCTTTAACTCAGCCAGCAGTGTCCCATGGTTTTTATTGCCAACAGTCCTGACTTTAATCCCCACTGATGATGCACATATCTACATGGGTACGATGTCATGGTTTGCTGTGTATTTACATAAAATAAAGTCTTTCTCCTCTGAAGACTGCTGCAGGATTTTCAATAATAAAAGATATGTAGGAACTGCAGTTTTTCTGTCCCTTTTTAAAACAGCATTTTGGTCACCGCTGTCACCCGAGACCCAATTTACACAGGACCAAAGAACAGAAAGGGTAACCAACGCTTTCAGCATCTGCAGCTTTTGTTGGAGGTTTCCCACCCAAAAAAAGTGTCGTGCACGATCTTCCTTAACTCCTCAACTATTTGAAGCAATGATTATTCACCATGACACAGGCACCGGTTACCGATACTCTGCCTGAGTACTAACTTTCTATTTCTAGTTGTTGTGCTTCCACGAGAAGAGCAAATGTCCCTGTTCTGCCACGTGTTGCACCACACCACACTGCACCACACCGTGCTGCGCGGCCGTGTGCGGCATCCTTACCTTCATAGCGTGCACAACAGCCTCTGGTTTCTGACCAACAGGGACATATCCTGCTGCAGGAGAAGATGCAAGATCAGATGTCATGCGAGCCGGTCCCTGTTGAAACAAGAGAAGATATGCTTTAATTCCCTTTGGGCGATTTCAGGAAGGAGGAAAAAAAATACCCAGAAAATTTGAGCACTAGCTTCTCTCAAATTCAATCCCCTTCGGCCACCTGCGAAGACAAAAGACGCCACTACCCATTCCTCACAAGTCACTTGATTTAATGCCATTTAAGCCTACCATCACTCAGTCTAGATGTACTCAGGCAGGAGATCACCCAGGCTTAAAGCTAAATTGACTCAAGAAACATTTTTTGCTCACTTAGGATAACTTTGTACAAGGACAAGATCAAACTGTTCGCATCCTTCTAGCCAAGGGAGCAATGCAAACAGATGATTTTCCAGCATAAAGCCGTGATTTCTAAGAAGCTGCATTCATGAAAGAAACCATTGGCATAACTTCATTGCTTTTCTGGCAACATTTTCACATCGACATCAAGTACCGATCTTCAGCTACAGAGAAAATTGTGAAGGCAACCTTAAAACAAGCAGATGTCCAAACCTAATGTTGGCTGGGTTTGTTTCCAAAATGCTGGCCAGTCTTCCCGCACGAAGGATCCCATTGGGAAAGATGCCGAAATTACATTTTACAAAAGATTTCTACTGTCCAAACAGCCTTGTAAGCATTTTTCATAGGGCTTTCCTTTTTCAAAGGCATCCGACTTGGATTATGAGATACAATATCTTTATTCAGTGAGATGCACCCTGCCTGTCCCTAATATTTGTGCATTGCTTTGTAGCAGTGGGAGAAATCAACAATGAAACCATTGACCAAACTCGTATTTAGTCTTCACATCCTTTAGGAAACACAAAGAATGATTATACTGGGGGCCTCTGAAAGCAAATTAGGATGGCAGAGCGGCATGTAGCACCATCACAGGAATGCTTTCACATACAACACACGAGGCACTCCATTCTCATCTCTGCCACGTTTGAAAACACAGCATGTTTTATGCTTCATCTCATCGCTTTGCCTTCCAAGCCAAGGCCAGCAAGCTAGTCCTGCCAGAAAGGAGGACCAATGGAGGGGCACTCTGCCGCCTCTAATTTTTCCAAATGTTTTAAGTTGTGGGGGACTTTTTGCTAATAAAAGTGTTCATGTGCACATGTTAAAGAAAAAGATGGGCCAATCCATTAGGCTACAGGCAAAAATAGCATGAAAGGCATGGAGCTTTTCATCTCTAGGCCACTGATCTGTGCTTAACCCACATCATGACCACCGGTCATTTACACATCATAGCAACCTTCATGAACTGAGTCACTGGTGATACAAAAACTTCCTTCTGAGAGACAGGCATCTCAGAAAAAGGAAAATTAGACCACAGTAATTCTCCAAGGAGATTTAACAGACTGCCAAAGCACAGAGACCAAGAGACACTCACAGACTGGGCATGGTTCTGGACCTGCTGGCAGAGGGTTACGGCTTGCTGGAGCTGCGGCCACCTGGGGACGTGTCCTCAGCCACCCTGTCCATAATGTCACACAGGAAAGGCAAAGGCTAGGGAGGGAGCACCAGGGACTGGGTCCAGCCAGTCTACAGCTGCGACTTAAGACTGCAAAATGGGCTACAAATTTCTCATAAGGCTGGTAAATGCAACAGAGTCCTTCTAGAATCAGCCTCCCACAGAGGTCAAAGACACCGATACATGCATAATTCCTCTGGCTTCAGCATGAAAGCTGCCTTCTTTCCATAAATGACCAAGATCATGACAACCAAAACCAAAATATTCAGGAGTTTGTGGCCATGAACCATACTTGATATGGATCTTCCCCCATGGCCCTCTTTAGAAGTAACACGGGAAATACCAAGCACTGATCTAAGATCCAATATTTCTTCTGAGCTGAAAGTAATTTGACAAAATAAAAGGAATTCTGCTGAATCCCACTGCTGACAACATTTTAAATACAGTTTTCTGACCAAACTAGAGTAGATCACAGGGTCTCCAGTATGACAGGCAGCCAGCAGCTTCTCCTCACAGAACTGAAGTCACTAATGAGCTACAAAGCATTTCCATGATCGTAATCACTCTCAAAATCATTAGAGAATACAAATGAATCCAGAATGATTAGAGAGAAATGTTTTCTAAAGAGCTCGATCATACTTAACCACTCACCATAATGACACAATAAAAGTAATCTTGCAAGAACAGTGATGCACTGGATATATCGTGTCACACAAAAAACACTCAAAGGTCACCTTCCTTCTCAGACACGTGACTGAAATCAGGCAAGGGCAATCAACTGAGCTCCACCTGAACATAGGTAGATAATTTGACTCAAGAAGAGAAAAATAATGTTAAAAAATGAGGGATGCAACAAAGGAGGTAGACCCAAAACGTGCCAGCGGAGTTTCAGTAACAGATGACTTCATTTCTAAAATAGGCATGATCCTTGATCCTTAGCTTGGAAGCCAAAACCCCCAGCCAACTGAAACAGATGCCGAAATTGCTGAGCACAATCGTCAGCAATGGCGAGTGTACCGAACGACCATGCCACAGGTCCGCTTTGCCCCAGGCCACAGTGACCTCCCCACCATGTGAGACTGTTACTACAAAAGGCCAAACACGCGTGTGAAGAAAGTGGGGGAGCAAGCAAGGACCTCACCAACATCCCTGCCCTTTGCAACTGCAGGATGCAACACGTAAAAATACCCACGCTGCTAAGGGTGGCTTAGTATTTATCATTACATTTAGTGCTTTTTGTGCAGTTGCACCCTTAGAAAAGGCTCTTTCCAGACATAGTGAGAGTCAGTTTTATAAAGGGGGGCAGGTGCTTATTCCCACTGATTTCAGTGTGGTTCACAAAAAAGCTTCGGTCAAACTCATATCAGCTTCCTGCATGGAGGCACACATGAAAGAGGCCAGAAGAGAGGGGACTGTAGTCAGCAAGGAAAGAAATGACAGCATATCCAGCAGGATGCATGGTCAGCTTTTGGAGGATGGAGGAGAGGAAAACGGGCAGAGTTCACCGATAGTGTTAGCTGAAGGGGAGGAAATGGAAGGAACTGGAGATAAGGTCAAGGTTGCTGGACTGGAAAACTGCCAACGGTGGGAGAGAAGGGAGGGAATGGGAAGAAAGAGGAGGATGTGCATTTTACCCAGCAGGAAACCAGTCAAGATGAAATGTAGGGGAGGGGGAACCAGAGATAGGAGATTGTAAGAAGGGCAGGAGGGCAGGATGGAGGGGGAAATCTCAGGAAGTCAGTGTTAAGGTAGTAGCTGAAATCACACAGATGGAGGAGATTCCTCATGTCTCAAATAGACGTGTTTGGAAACTGTGGGTAAGAATTACCAAAGCTGCACCCCAGCAATCTAACTCGGCTACTCTCACGGCAGAAACCCATGCCCTTCCCATTCTCTATAGCTGGCATTTTCACAGCCATGGGGACACAACTGACTCAGCACCCTGACGGACAATTATAGCAAGGTTAATCTGGTTACATCCTAAGAAGCAGAAATTGTCCATATAGGCAAAAAGCAATACGGTGTGTTTTGGGGCATGCATCACTCTCAATTTCCTCTCCCTGTCTGGTTTTGTCAAACACACATTCTCTGTATTAGATGGACGTCTGGCTTTTCCACTTGCTAGGTTTTCATAGTGTTTGGTAGCTCAGCGATGGTTCAGTCTTCATCACATAATTATATAAATGAATGGTTCTAAAAGACAGCTCAGAAGTCACCAAATGGGATGCCATTATATCTATGATAAAGCTCTTGAGAAATACCATCTTGATCGTTTTCCTAGTTTACTTCTGCAGAATAAGGAAGCTGAGTCATTTCAAAATGCAAAGTTTCTTACCGTCTCTGGCCCCAACTAGCTTTGCAGTTGCTCCAGGTTTACAGCAGCAGAGAAGAGAATGGAACTCAGCTTGCTTCACTCATCACTTATACAAGGAATTTGTAATTCAACAAGAAAACAACTGTACATCTGTGTTGTGGCATCAAATGGTCACCTGGGTAGAACTACATCGCATACTGCTTTCTGTTTCATCCACAGACACAGTTACGCTGACAAAAAAGCGAGCTGCCCAGCGATGAGATTATCAGCCTAATTTAGAGTCAGGGGCTCTAAGTTACATATCTGATGCACTGGAGTTCCCGAGTGCTTGGAGGAAGCACCTTATCTTCCCTACGCACGGGGTTTGTTGACCACTGCACCTCTGAGACCCAGAGACCTTTCTCCAAGGTATGTCTTCAAGAAGCAAAAGTCCCAGGGAACCAACGGCTGTGGAGCCATGTGTGACCCATCAAACACTTCCTACATAAGTCGGTGCTTTTGCTGCTGTGTAAACCACTGTGGCAGTTCAGATCATTCGAGACTGCTGTAGCGTGGATCTCCGATGAGTTCAGCCCTGGGAAGAACAGCCCTGTCTCTGCTGCTGGGACAGCTCTGGGACTGCAGTGTCCTGAGAGGCTCCTGATGAGGCTCTTCTGCATCCCTCATGGGAGGCAGGTGTCAAGTACCCACGTACCCAGCACCTCTCCCAGTGGGGAAACCGCGACAAGAGCTATTCCTCTGCCAACTCTGTGCTGACAGCAGTACTGAAGCACCACTGAACACATTTCCCTTTCAGCCCTCGCCTGCTCCTCCATTTCAAGCAGATCAGCACTGGATATTTGCTGGTGGCTGTGATGGGACCAATGCACTTCTTTAGAGCCTATTGTTCCCATGTGGCATCAGCCCCCTCCCCACCATGCCAGCCTCACATCGTGCATGCCCAAAGCACAGATCCACCAAAGAAGCCCAACTCTGTTCGAGATCCTTCCAGAAACCTCTCACTGGAGCCTGCAGGGCTTGTGATTCAATCTCCAAGTCTGTGAGGAGATTCACGGTCCAGCTGTAACATCAACAGATTAAGAAAAGAGAGAGGAACTCTGCAGTCTCTCATGCCAGAATATGCTACATACAGGGGATCGATCCTCCAGTTCTCTATCGGCCAAGAATGATGCTTGACCTGGTGACAGCCTCAAATCCAAAGCAGAAAACAAATCAAAT